GCTTTGAAAGCATCAACTCGATTAAAAAGAATCGAGATTGTTCACAAGGTATTGTTGTAAAACGACGGTGTGACAATAAAAATTCAATTTCTGCATTCTCACTTGTCGGCAAAAGAAGTCTAAAACCCTGAAACTGCATGCCAACCACACTCATTGGCGTAACAAAATAACAGGAAACTGCAACAAAACCATCATGAAAGAACATGAAAAGTCACCTGTTGCTTATACCAATTACTTGTTGAATAACTTCCATATTATAAAACCAAACAGGGCAACATATGATTCGTCAAAACAAATTTCATCAGAATCCTATGGCATCAGAATATGTTCGATCAGAATGATATTTCAACTGAACAGATACTTAAGGGAGCTACTTAATTCACCGGAATGTGAAACATCAGAATGTAATCCATCATGTGGTAAAATGAAGCAGATTACTTCATAGGAACGCTAAACATCATAGGAATGGTAATTCATCATAATCGTATTTGATCAGAATAGTATTTTATCAGAATCGTATTCGGGCGGAACGTTAACTCAACAGAAACGTATTGTATAAAAAACACAATTCATTAGGACCGTATTTTGTCTAGAAACTAATGTGACAGAATCGTATTTTGTCAGAACGGTAATCTATCATTAACGTGAATCATCATCATGTTATACAGGGTCATTGCTTCATCGACGTATATCTGGAAGGAGGTGATTGGTTAGATTATGATGAATTACCGTCATGATGGAATAAGGTTCTAAAAATTACTGTTTCGATCGAATAAGGTTCTCATCCAATACCATTCTGATGGATTACATTCTGACGACTCAGGTTTTGTTATTATACATGCCACCAAATTACGGTTCTATGTTTTACATTGCGATGAAAAACGTGCCTATACAGAATACAGTTACTGTCAATAACGTTTCCTACGAATTAACTACTATTCTGATGAAATATATTTCTAGAGATTATATTTTGATACGTTTTATTCTGATGTTTTAGTTGCCACCCTCAACAGTGAGAAATATAATATGATATGTTCCGTTCATCAACCGAGGGTACCAAATTCTTTCAGGGCCAGTACCAACAATTCTGACAGTGGTTATCTACTGTTGTGGTTTACTTACGGAATGCCAGTCATTTGTCAAATTATAGTTTTGATCGTTTTTCAAACATTCATGCTCTGCCTGTATTTGATTTTCAATTATGGCCGCCAAAAGTCCCTTATTCTTTTGCACAGTGAGCAAAAACGAGGAATGTAGTGTCCTGAAATAGAAAAAATCGCCATCAAACTGAAAATGTATATAGAAACGTATTTATTTACCTCAGTCAACGAATCCATCGGAACTCAACGAAAACATTCGAATGGGAATATTGTTTTTTCTTATACATTGTAAATCGAAGAATCAAACAAAAAATTAAAGCACATCAATGTCAACTCAAATTTACCGAATTTACCAGATAAAATCCATGCATCACGGTCGTTCTGGTGAAAGTGTGAATCTCTTGGTTTTTCAGCAACCGAGTTTCTTAAATATCCTCTTCTCAGGAACCAACCAAACATTTCTTATGTACGGAACGGAAAACTACTAACCGAAATAACCAAGTTGATTTACGGAAGCCATAGTAGAAACAATGGTCCAAGAAGTACTTGAGAGTTTGAGTTTGTGACTTTGTTGTGGGTTTGGGGGTATGCCATCCTACGCCTATGGTGCGGTGTATAATGCCAGCGGTGGTCGTTTTCACAAGTCTTCGTCTGCAGTCTTTTACAACGGATATAATTAGTTAGTCCATCCATTACCCGTAGTTGCTGCAACTGTCGCAATATGGCGACAGTACTCGCACTATATGTAGAACATCGAACGAGGTTTTTATGGTTTTTATGGCTTTACGAGCCGATAATATAAGAAAAAAGTGAAGAGTTATAGTCAGGGAATAGTAGGATTGAGCGAGAATGATGACCAAGTTGTGGAGAGATGTTAGGATATGAATGGTAGGTAACCGCTATAAATCCAGCGAGATTCGTGAGAAAAACACATTGTTGGAGATATATATATATCACCCAGGATTAGTATCCACAAACAGAAAATTGTTTGAACACAAACCTTTTCTTTATTTATATTCTCTGAAGTAACCAAGTGTATTCTAAAGAAACTACTCAGAGTTGGTTTCCCTTTTGGTACCGTCATTTGCAGTGGCGGATTTCCCATAAGGCCACTGGGGGTGGCCAATCGTGACAAAACATTCACTGATGATAACAAGAAATGACTAAAAGTAGGAAAATATTAAGAAAAGACAGAAATCTCTACTGTCGATAATAGTGGCGGTTTTTCCATCACCACCATAGACGATATGTACACCGAGAGAAATATCTATTAGCTCTTATACGAAATTGTATAACCATTAAAAGATTTCTGAATTGTATAGGCGCCAGCATAGTTCCCATTTCACTAATATCACGTTCATCATTTCAAAAAAATCATATAACTGTGAAATATCACTTATATGAGAATGCAATGACACTCATATAGGGGTCAAATGACTATAGCATTTCAATGCTATACGATGATATTATAAAAATGAGAAGATACTCATATAAATTTGGGACATATATACTTGGTTTATATACTTACCTCCAAGTAAAGTTTTTTTGAGGAACTACAGGGCATTGAAGTGCATCACAAGGACGATATACTCAGTTTACAATACCTCAGTTTGTGTAGGACAAAAATGCTTCCAATTTCGACTATCTGTTCTCATTGTCAGTGCATTGGATTATTAGTTAACATAAAGGGCCAAAAATGTAATTACACAGTATCGTCAGTAAATTAGAGTTCACATTCGCAGATTTCGTTTTATTTTATTTACCGTTATTGCCACTTGAGCATTACAAAAGAGCGTTGAGAGACTTTTCTTACGACGTTTTCGAGATCCCCATGATAGTAATCATTAATCTTGGACACAATGTATACGCAATACAATCTATCACCGATAAAACTGTTCAAATCCAAGCTTTTGCCACTCAGTGAATAGTGAGGTGAGTTAAAAAATAAAAGTTTTTGCAATTTGGAAGACATTTCGATACATACACTTACCGATATATCGTGAAAACACTATAACGCCCAGAGGCAGTTCAACATTCTGTAGTTCCTCAACAAATCTTGGGGGATATATGAACGAATATGTCCCTAATATTTCTAGAAGATCTCTCAACCACTTCACTTTTTCGAAAAAAAAAGATATCACTCTGCAAGAAGAGTTCACGAGCTGCCGCGAGCTAATATGTCCTTTCATATCAGGAATCCGGAGACGACTAACGATTCTCATCGAACAAGTGTTCATAGGTGAGTGAGATGACTCATTGAGGTAAACGAGTATGACAAAGATGGAAAATGATAGAAGGGATGAAATTAAATGATGATTGTATAACTGTGAAATGACATCTTTTAGGATTCAAATGATTATCTTCAAATTTCCATCTTTTAACTATAATCTTGTCTCATTTCGAATCTAAAAGATAACCTTTTTGAAACAAAAAGAGTGATTTGAAAGGGCAACCTGTATCACGTTGAAAAGGTGAACTTTTCACGTTCATCAGATGACATTTCGTGGTTAAAATGTTTCATTTGGCGGTTATAAGAAGTTTTTAAATAGAGACATGTATAACTGGACTTTTCTCGGTGTATAGAGAACTAATCTGGGCAAAGAAATGGGCGGTGGAGGATGACAATAGGGTGCCATGTCTACATTTTATAGTTGGTCATAGGAAAAAGTAATCTCACACGAATCAATTCAGTCTTGCTCAATTATTGAAGACAATGACAGAGCAGTATAACGAGCCTACATAAACCTCCCACTGTACCTTTTGATTTCGAATCATCATGGCATCAATTCTTTTCACGAATAGTAATTAAAAATTCCACTGCGTGTGTTCGTGTTCATATAGTGACAACTTGGCGTGCAAATAATTTTTATTTCACGAACATAATTTTCAACAATTATTATTCTGTTTACAATGCCTCAGCGATGTGTACGACATAATAAATAGCTTTATATCATTAAATCGACATACAAGCTTGTAGTTTCGTTTTCTAAACTGCAATGAAATATAATGAGCTTCCTATCATTGGCGTACAACTACATTAGCATGCCAATCACTGTAAATTTCAATAATAGAATATGAAAATACTGTCTGTAGATTAATCGTGGATGTGGTACATTCATTTTTCTAGATCGTTTGGGATTTTTTCTCCTCGTTTCTATAAATCAAATATGAGTATTATATTTATATTTCTTTCCTTCGAACATTTTGCAATAATGTGTCACAGATGAACTATTGGATTTTACTTTCAGACTCTAATATAAAAAAAAAATTCGAACGCAGTGACATAAATGTGAATATGAAAATTGTCATGTATTCAAAAAATCCACATTGTATTAACTGGAAAGCTTGAAAAGGCAGAATGGCTTACTTATAGAAAGTATAATGGTATTCGAAGTCCAAGTACTCAATATCGTATAAGTTGAATTCAATTATTTATAGATTTATATCTCCAATCTTATTCGAACTGTAATAGGCCGCTAGTATAAAATTGATTGACATGTTCGATAAAGTTGCAATTCAGATCACTTACAGTACAGATAATGATGCGAAATATTTCGCATTCTATAGACTTCTCCGCAACACATATGGTAACTATCTCGATGACCATTAAAATATTGAAATAAGTCAGGAATACATCTACATAGTAGCAATTTGTGAATTATAATAATACCAGAATAATCTCACACATGAAAGGCATTTCAACCATTATAAAATCCATGTAAACCATCACTATTAGATAAACATTATAATTAGGACGAAGTTTGTATCCGTCATCAATGAATCCCACAAAATCCACTTTGCATTCATTGATACCCACTTCAAATTTGAATTGTGAAAATGCATTTTATTTTCCTTTCCTGATCCTACGTAACTTTATTCCATTCAACATTCGCAACGCAGAACATCAAACTGAGCAGTCTAGCGAGAGATCCAGCTTATAAACTCTGGATATCCTCTTTAACGCTGTCAGACATGGCGCTAAGTGGCAACTCGGCATCAGGAATCGATCCTGCAACGACCGTGAGAATCTGGCAGGGGACATAATATCTCCTGCAGTTCCAGTCCCATTCGTCGCACAAAAGCCACAAAGGCTGATTCCTCGCGACTATAGCACATTTTTGTTGGCCTGCCCACTGTAAGGAATGAATTTAACGAAAGGGTACCACAAATTCTTGAAGAATCACTTGCAGATTCCTGCGAGACAACGAAAATCAGCAGGATGATTCAATGTACATGTTCTTTATTGAGATCTTTACTAAAACTTGAGATAATAATGCACTTACAGTCAGTCAGTCACCTTAAGGTGGTTGCTGTATAAGTTCAATATAATTCGAGCAAGGCATGTGTTCTTTCAAATAAGAACCCTCACATGAATGTAAGGATGATACGAATTGGACATTTTGAACCGTGATGGAAAAAAGTAAGTGACGGTTGGTTCTGGAGCTGAGAACATATTTTATATTCTGTTGTTGGATGCCAACAAGAACACAAGGAGAGGAATATGTATATACATACAAAATAAATCATTTCACGAGGAATAATTTTCGTATCGACCGCTAGACCGCATACATTACGACGTTTCAGCCGGTGAGAAGTCACGTGCAAAATAAACCAGTCCTGTCAATCGGACTTTGAGGCAAACGAGCAGAGAGAAAAAGGAAAATGTCCTGGTGGCGTCACCAGCTCTTTTATGGCATACTAAAAGTACTAAAACTGTAGCTCTGCCGGAGATAACATCAGCCATGATGTGACTCTGCCAGTGTCTGCGCACGGTTATTTACAATTGATCTTATTATTCATTCGACGCTCTTCCACGTATGTAAATGCTTCATTTGCCTTTATTACTTGCACACCTTACTGCGATTCATGTCTAACACATCGTTAAAGTCACACAAAAGGCTGGAATGACGCTAAACGCTGTGATGGAATTATTCGATAACCTCCGCGTGAAAGTGATTCTCGTGAAAAAATTTCCCTCAATGGGGTTCATGATATATCTGTGAAACTATTGAATGGAAACACTGTGTGAATTCCTTGCAAATACTCAAAAGCGAAAGCAGAAAGCTCGGTCTTGAAAATCTTAGATGCATTGACTGTTTCCTCCTCCGACACGAAATTGTTAATTACTGTTAATGTATTGACGCATCCTCCACCGATGCAAAATTCGTCATTATCGTTTTAAATTTTGTTTCTTTCTTCTTCCAGAGCAATCCCTATGCCCTAAAGGACGCTAGTGGAGCCACCGATATGTCAGCGTGGACTAGTGCTGGACTCCAACCAACTACAGGCTACTATCCTTATGATCCTACGTTAGCAGCTTATGGGTATGTAAACACTATAACATTGGGCATGGGAATATCAAAAAGTGACTGATTTATGAGGAGGGTAGATACATTATACAATATGAGATATTTTTTGGGAGCCCTATATTCCATATTATATTCCCAAAGTAAAATCAACACTTTAATAAGATAAACATTATGAGGAATAAATAGTTATCGAAGCTGAATAAAAAATTATCGCTAGATTGAAGACTACAGATTGTAGAAGGATGGTAGAGGCAATGCACCCTCGACCTGTTAGGTCTTTTTTGACATAACCTCTGTCTATTCGATGAGCAGGATTCTGAATTCTGAGGGCGTTACTATACCAGTATGAGCACCTGTTTTTTGAAGTGATATCTCAGAGGGAAGTGAGAAGTTCTGATACAAACTTCAAGTCTTCGACATTTTTCAACTCGAGAGGCTTTCGCGATAAACTCACTATGTATGGCCTCTTCGCTCGTTTTTTTCTGTCCTAGCTTCGGAACTCTTCTTTCAAGTGGAATTCATAGAGTCCACACAATGATTTAGATCTGAAAATTTGTGTCCTGGTGTGAAATGGCACCCAAATCAAAGTGACAAGATCAGTCTCTCGAGCTTAGTAAGTCTGCTCTCTCACAAGTAGAGCTTTCAGTGTAAATGATCATCAGAACTCGTCCAAAAATAGTATCTAGAGACCATCCACAAAGGTTTCCAAGTGGTTAATTACTAACCCGTTAACTGATAGGGATTGTTTGCAGTCCCAAGTTAGCCTAGTCTCACAAGTAGTGTATGACTCCAGAGCTTTCAGTGCATTTGATCACTAATACAACTTGAAAAGAACGCATCGAGATCATTGCTTATTTGCTACCAGTTATCTAATAGGTATTATTTGCAGTCCCAAGTTCTCTCATTGCACTTGATCACTAGAAGATCCCCAAAAATCGTATCGAAATCATCCACAATGGCTCCCCAGTGGCTGGGGATAGTTTGCAATCCCAAATCAGCCAGCTCTCACAAGTGTATGACTTGAGAGCTTTCAGTGTACTATATCACTATAACATCCCCAAAAATCGTATCGAGAGCATTCACAAAGATTCCCAAGTACATGGTTATTTGCTGCTTATTAGAATCGTTTGCAGTCCAATACCTACCTCCTTTTCCTTTCCTCCTCAGGTACGCACGATGTTCTTCGAACAGTATAGTAATTCCCTTTCGTGTGCGCTCGAAGAGATAAAAAAGTAACTCAGCTCTCACAAGTGTATGAGTTCAGAGCTTCCAGTGTACTTGATCACTACAGAACACCCCTAAAAATCGTATCGAGAGTATCCACAAAGTTTTCCCAGTGGCGTTGAAGCTCATTTTATGATCCTGGTTAACCCTCCAACCACTGGAAAACAATCGAAACCGATTCCATCGACGAGACTAACATTCGAATGGTGCATTGCGATGGCAGCGATCCCACCTGCGTCGCGACGCTACCGCACCGACGCTACCAATCGATAGCGCGCCCCCCTTTGCGGCCATTTTGTCTTGAAGCCATTCCGGCGACGGACGGCGAATTAGCCGGTGGAAACTGGAAAGTCGCTCGAACTCCCAAACCGCAACTTCACGGTTTAACATATCCGCGGAGTCGGTGGCAACACTCGCGAAGTGAGATCTCTCGGCGATGTTGCCGGATGTTAGAATAATGAACTTCAGGAAGAATAAGTCTCGATATTCCGAGAATCTTACTCTGATACCGTCATTTTAATAGTGTGAACGAATTTATGTCATATCTCAATCACTAACGCCAATTGACAGTCATATGCCCGAAATCACCTTTCGCCAACGTACTATAAGGAAGATTTTATTGGGTCTCAACACCAACAAAGCTTGTGGCTCCGACGCAATCCCGCCGATTGTTCTCAAGAAATGTGCTCCCGAACTAACACATGTTCTCTGCAAGTTGTTCAACTACAAATTGGGGATATTCCCGTCCAACTGGAAAATTGCAAGAGTACAACCAGTTCCTAAAAAAGGCAAAAAGAGATTTCAATGCATACAAAACACAAGCATGCATTTTCTCTAGAAAAACCGATCTCACTGTGAACATAAAGCTTGTCAGGAGTAACCATACCTTTGAAGACATCCATTTCGAAGCTTGGTATTAATATCATCAATAACGTTCCTTGGGAAAATCACGTGAGATCAATTGCTAAAAGTGCATCCCAAAAACTTGGTTTCCTGTTTCGGGCCAGGAGCTATTTCACTTTCAGTCAGCTGCTTATGATCTATAAGGCACAGATTCGACCTATCCTGGAATAATGTTCCCATATTTGGAGTGCAGCACCCAAATATATCCTGAAACTGTTGGATTCTGTCCAAAAAAGGGCAATTCGTCTCGTGGGTGATGTCTCGGTCAAAAATTCACTCACTCCTCTGGAACATCGTAGAAAAGTTGGCGATCTGGCTCTATCTTATAGATATTTTCATGGACGATGCTCTTCTGAAATATCAACAATTGTTCCTCCCTTGGCAGTCCCCGCGAGATTATCCCGTCGAGTTGAGGCTTCGCACCACTTCGTGGTCACTTTGGAGACCTGCAGAACATCTCTCTCCAAAGACTCGTCCATTCAACGAACAGTGAGGCTCTGGAACACATTGCCAAAATTTTGAATATGCTGAAATCATGACACTCGTGAGAGATATGTCAAGATCGAGATGTCTCCACGCGGTTTATTTGTTGCTCCCTGTCTCTAGATGCTTCTTATCAGCTATTATTGATTTCGTGCATCATCAACAAGGCTCTTCAGGTCACGAGAGAAGGAAAACATACCATTGAAAGTCTTGTTCAACTTCATATTAAGATTCGAGACGCATTTTGAAATTTTTCAAGAAATTCTTCATCGTGGCCATCTATCATCGAATATTAGAACCCCACGTTCCGAACTCGCATTCAATTGTTCATATCGAGAGCTAGTATGACGAAACAATTGAAGAGTGGGCACACCAGAGGAATTATAAACATCTCAGTAGTCTTCACAATCAAAAATCACATTATGTTATGTAATATTTCGAGATTAGACAATTTCTATGGGAAAACAATGCAATTCTTTGCTATAGGTGAGGCATAAATGCTGATTCTCCCAGATCTGCAAAAAACGTGAATATGTTTTACTAATTCTTCAACTGTAGTCACGTTATTGTCGCCAGAGATTTATGTGACGTCGAAACATTTGCTCCACGACTCTTTATTCTCTGCCAGACCAATTTTCCGTTCTAGCATTCCCCAGGATTTATACCGATTCCATGTCTGCGTCCTCCATCATCCAACACAACAATTGGAAATGTGTAATATCGTGACCACTATGTCATTGTTATTGGCAGAATGATTCTGTCGAGCGTGTGTTGTGTTCGTTGTTGCTGCATCGCATGCTACGATGTGAACGTTCACATTTCTTCCACCGCAAAACAAAAGAGATCTAGCGTAGATATGGGCCGACATGGGCTGATGTTCTCCCTTCCTGTTAGCCATTGTCGCGTTACTAATCCATTGAATAATTGCTCGAGCTGAATGTACACGTATAGTTGCACCACCAGCACCACAGAATGTCACGAATTGCTTGAAAATTTGCGAAAGTAATGTGTGATTGTGAAGAACCTTCAATAAGATCTTGTAGTGAATTTTCTGTGCACATGAGATCCTCCTGGTGGGAGACAAACTGATTCTAAGAAGATGAGATCTAATCAACACTTTTTCTTTTCAAACGCATGTTTGGGAAAATCACGTGAGTCAATTGCTAAAAGTGCATCCCAAAAACTTGGTTTTCTGTTTCCGCACAGATCCGACCTGTCCTGGAATACTGTTCCCATATTTGGAGTGCAGCACCCAAACATACCCTGAAACTGTTGGATTCTGTCCAAAAAGGGCAATTCGTATCGTGGGTGATGCCTCGCTCACAAACTCACTCACTTCTCTGGGAAACCGTAGAAAAGTTTGCGATCTGGATCTATTTTATAGATATTTTCATGGACGATGCTCTTCTGAAATATCAACAATTGTTCCTCCCTTGACAGTCCCCGCGAGATTAACCCGTCGAGTTGAGGCTTCGCAGCCCTTCGTGGTCACTTTGGAGACCTGCAGAACATCTCTTTCCAAAGACTCGTTCATCCAACGAACTGCGAGGCTCTGGAACAAATTTCCAAGGGAGGTGTTTTCCGAGGCATATAACCTCCAGAAATTCAAGAAGAACACCAATTCCTACCTTATTTCCCTTGGTTCTCACGATGTTCTCTGAACATTACAGGATATCCCTTTTCATTGGAACCAGTACATGAAAAAAGTCATGTTGGCTGCTCAATTAAATAGGTCTCTGGGTTTTTCGGCTTCAGAATTATTATTTTTCAATAGGTTAGGCCCTCTCTTATTCATCACAATGATTCAACTCTAGAGATAAGCGGTTCTTTGTATGAATCACAAGAAATTAGACAATGAGAAGCTAGACAGAAACTAGACATCTGAGGTAATCTCCAATGTCAGTCTAAGCAAAAATAAAATTAGTAAACTAACGGGAGCCAAACCAGGGTACTAACATTCCAAACAACATCTTACGGAGCTGAGGTATATAGTACTAGATAAATTACTTTACCTACGGATAAATTAAGAGGGCACAATAGATCTTTTAGATCGCAAAATATTCATACCTTATGCAAACAATACAATACACTTTCATGCCATTTCGAGAGTCTTAATACGAGCTTCTATATGGTTTCCTGAATCCAAAACCTCCAAACTTATGTCTAAAAAAAGAAACCAGAATAGGAGAAGCTATAGACAGAAATTAGGAAATCTCCAATTTAAGCCTAATCAAACATAAAATTCGTAAGCTATTGGGAGCCCAAACAGGGCCCTACCGTTTGAAAGCACATCTAAGGAAGCTGATGGATCTAGGACTACATAAATTACTATACCTACGGATAACAATACCTCATCGGGTATACCAAAATAAGGGGGCACAATAGTTCTTTCAGGTCGCAGAGTA